CCAAACCACCTAGCATACGATAGCAAGAATATGTATATATATCCCAAAACCTAAATAAAGTTAGTTTTGCTCCAACTCTATATACGTTCAATTCTCTTACGTTACACCTACTCTACGGATAGTATCTCGTACAGAGGCCTAGTGCATTCATCATCGCTGCAAGTTAGTCCTGCGACACTAGCGTCAAACGACACCTAATGTCGGATACTCGAGGTATTTCTTAAAGAATGAAAATTAATCGTGTCATCAATCGTGACAATGATAGAGGGGAAAAACCAAAAGATGAGAAGATTGAGAGATTCAATCGAGTTTGCACGAGCAGATTGTTTGGTCCATTATTGCGTCCCACGTGAAAGAAATTGTATCGTGAGAAGTTGCAAATGTTGTTTTGTGCCAAACTACAGCAGTTGAGAATACGCGAGTTGCATTACCATAGCAGATTATACACGCAACAGTCTTCATTTTCACGTAACAGAGCTTCAAGCAGATGAAATCAGCGACTGAATTTTCAGTGGTTTCTTCGTTTCCTTATATCTAATTGGGCAATAGTACAAGATACGACAAAATATTTTGGTGAAGATCCGTGATCTATGGTAATGTCGGTATTTATTTAGGTAACTAGTAATTGGAATAATTAGATGGAGAAAGGAACGAAGATCATTACTCAGAGGATTAGTTTAGATTAATGAGTCTGTCTGTAAACGTCCAAAAGATTACTTGCATCTATGAATTAAAGAAGGTATTAGGTATGTTGTGCACTGTTCGAAGTTAAATAATTTATCACCAGGTATACGATATCTAATGATTTCTTAACACTTTTTATACAAAAAATGCCTAATTTTTAATACTCTATCACTAGATTAGTATATTTAGAAAAGGTATTGAAAGTTTGAAGGTTTATTTGGCTTCTTTAGAAAAATTTCTCTTCCATTAACAATTGCTCTATGTTGAATTCTCTAAATTTGTAGAAATCTCTAAATATGCTCTAAATATTCTCTAAAATATGCTCTACGTATTTATAACCTTTCATTAAAATCACAAATTTTTTAGTCAGATGAATTTCATTGTAATATAGTATGCTAATTTATTTGATAGGTTAAATGATCAGTTGTGGTGAATAAGACAGGTTATATATTCTGACAGTAATAATGAAAGTTGCCTAAGTCGTATACATATGTTTCGTTTCGAGATATTAAAAGTTTCGTATTTTAAATACATTGAAAATTAACAAAATTAATTACGATAAAGCTATAAATTCGACCTAGCGGTTCAATTATTGCCTCTTTTTCTAAAAATGACATTATTTCGTTGTAATGTAAACGAATGCAACCCAAAATAAATATATCAAAATAAATGCAACCCATATATACAATAATGCAGTACATAATTTCGATTATTAATTACCTATAATTAATATTATTGACACTATTAATTATAGCTATTAATAGTATCCATTAATATTATTTATAGTATATAATATTTACCATAATATTTTATATTATAATAAATTACGTGTCTATACCACATAACTTATGTGTATCGTATATAATTTCTGTGATATAGACACGTAATTTATAATAATACAAAATATTATACTAAATATTGTATACTAGTATTTTAATCAAACATGAATATATATTCCAGATTGTTATTTTATAGAAAAATAGTGTTTATATAATTAGTCCGTTACTGTATTATTTGAATAAATTGTCTCCTATTTAATTTGAATTAGAAAGTATTTAACAATTCGTATTTCATGATAACCTTAATTTTCCTGATTGACGTCACGATAATTTTAGGAAATAATCAAATTACGACAAATATATAACATAATTTGTTCACTGTTACTTTTGTCCTTAATAATTCCAAATTTCATTTCACTACGGCACATATATTCAACAAATAAACACACTCGCGTCGTAAAAGAAAAATGAGATAGAGGTTATGTATAAACTAACGTAAAGCACTATGAATATGATACACTCGTACGTTGGTAACTTTTATCACCTTGTATATTGATATTATAAAACCACACTAAATTCTGTACTCAAAAGATTCTGATTCTTACATATTTTAATAAACCGCAGAAAATTTATTATTACCTACACTATTTTTCAGGGCGTTGTTAAATCTCTTCACCGCTCCCCATAATGTGTTTTGTATTCATAGTCTGAGCGAAAATTGCTCCTAGAGCACAATAAAGGTTATACGGGCCATAAAGTAAGTTCAGCCTACCTTGCCGATGTTTATTTAAGCACTGGAGAGCCTTTGAATTTTCCCTCATTCCTGCCCTTTCTTCTTTGCCTCCTCGTTATTATTCCACCCTGTTCTTTCGCTTTTCTCCGATTTTCATTTCACTCAGCGCAGTTTAGAACCAAATCATGCCACCGCTAAATGAACTTACCGACCGAGCGAGTGTAACTGGTAAATAGTTTGCACGCGCAGCAACGAGGACTCCTGTTGTAACTCCGATCGACACTGCCATCTGCAGGGAATTTTTGGAAGTTCAAATCGAAATGTATGAAAACCAATGTTTACAATGTCAAAATATAGTTTCGGCGTCCTGGTTTGAATGAAACAGACGAATATCGCAAATTGGTAAAATGGAGGAACTCGTTGATTAAAATTATTAGTGAAATATACACATTATTGGAATTTGATAAATTTTTAACTTTTTATTATTGACTATTCACTTCTGTATTATGTTACGTTCGCGGATTATACCATTGTTACAAAATGAGTCTTCAGTATTTAAACCCGTGTTATCGTCCACTTTTCACACATCACAAATTATTTATAAAAAGTGTAAAAGGGAACAGGAAAGAACTTGTGAACCATTGTCCGTAGCTGTTGTAAGTATATTTGAATGTTATATACATATTTAGAAAATATGAAAAGGTTTCTTTTATTTAATCTGTGGTTTATTACTTTTACTTTATGTAACCAATTGCATGGGTAAGGTTTCAATCTAATAATATTTGTATAGGAGAAAATTTGTTAAATATTATTTTTAATCTAATTGAATTAATTAAATTTCATTTATAATGTTTAATGCTGTATTAGTAAACTTAATGCACTACTTTGCACTCAAATTAGTCATTCTTATAAATGGTGTTTTAAAATCAAAAATGTTTGGCTGAATGCTAAATAAATTCAATACTATTGTTCATTAATCAGTAGAAAATATTTACATGGAAATAATTGAAATTAGAATAAGAATTGTCAACGATTTTTATATTATTTGTTACTTTAACATTTATATTTTATAAAGAACGGAAAATATTTGAAAAATATTCTAATAAAGTAAACTATATGTTAAAAATAAAAAACTTGTAAATATTTAACTATCTTAATATTAAATATTAATTTTATTATTTTATTATTTCACTGTATTTTTTTAAATTTATTATCATTAAATTTATACATTTATATTAATAAATGACTGAAACTCACACCCTGAGTAATTTATTTATAAAAATATAAAAATATATATCTGACTCAAATGTCGTATAAATTGGGATTCTTCTTTCTCCCATAAATGCATATTTATATATTTTAATAGAAAGTAAAGATTAAATATACTTATATGCCGTTACATGCTGTTCATTTTCACGCATGACAAATTAAACGTGCTCAATGCTAATTAAAAATGAAATATGGTCATAATTTAACAGATAATCTTTTGAAATGATGAAGTACTAAATCGTTTTTTCCATTTCTATAATTCATTTCCTGGTAGGGAGCACTTTCTACTTTAAAGTACATTTTGTTGGTTAATCTGGAATATTGAGTGACCGAATCATAAATATTAGATAGTTGCAATGCAGGAAGCGATAAATCGATCTACGGTTTAAAATATACGATTGAAGTTTGGATCAAGGGAAATATATCTTATTATTCGACATAAATTGGAAAAAGAAATTCCTTGCCTTAAGTTACATATGAAACAGTGTAACATAATATTTGATTATAGTATGCATTCAAAATTAAATTAAATATAGTATGATCATAATAATGTTTGATTGTCGGCCTGGTAGATTATAAATGACTGTAATAAATTTAATGCACTTCATACATAGTCATATAATTGAATTAAAATCACGATACTATAGACTAACAATAATTATACTATATTTCCCGAATATAAAGGATTATTTAATTTTATAAAAATTGTTTATTGCACAAAGGCTAGGAATATAATTAAAATAAAATTATATAACCATAAATTACTAATAATTCTTACTATAATAATTTATAAAATATTCAAACTCATTTGATTCCATAAAAATTGTTCATTACATGAGCACATGGAATGTAATTAAAGTAAAACTAAAAATTAATAATATTCATTTCATACTTATAAAATATTTAAAAATTTTTATTACATAGGTATATGAAATATATCTAATTAAACTGAAATCTTAAAATTCATAATTATAAGATATTAAAAAGTTTCTAATGACATTATAAAATGGCTATTACATAAACGCATGAAACATACTTAACTTAAAGCGATAAAATCTCGAATTAACAATAATCATTATAAATTTACAAAAATATTAAAGAATTTGTCACGTTCCAACAATTTTTCATTGCATAAGCGACATAATCGAATAAACACCGTAAAGCCATAAATTAACAATAATCATTCAACGTTTATAAAATTTGAAGAAAGTTACGATATTGTAAAAATTTTCCATCGCATAAGCTGATGAGATATATTTAAATCGATAATTATTCTACAATTATATTTATATTAAAATCCGTCCAATATAGCAAAAATTTCTCATCGCATGAACGTACGAAACCTAATTAAAATCACAGAGTTATAAATTAAACGTAATCATTCTATATTTGTAAAGTACTAAAAAACTTGTGACATCACAGAAATCCATATTTCATTGCATAAGCGTATGAAAGTTGTACTGGAGAATTTCTCTCGCAGGAAATGACTCGTGTTATTGCATTTAACTCATCTGTTTGAAATATTTTCACTGCAGATTTTGTGCGGATGCGGTTACCTCGACGGTACTGAGATTTCGGAAGCCATTTCAGCGACGATACACATCTGCCAGAAGGATATGAGGCCGCGGTTTTACGCGCCGGATATAGACATTTGCAAAACTATCGATCATTTGGCTAAGCAGCCAGACTCGAGCTGTCCATCTAGGAACGCTCTGGTCGAGGCAGCCAGATTGGCTAGATCATCTATAAAGCCGTTATGCGAGTGCGAAGCTTGCTCGCACGCGGCGCTAGTAATCCCTGGAGGATTTGGGGCGGCCAAGACGTTGTTAGTATTCGTGTAAATCCACTGAAGCTCGTTGGTATCTGTAATATTAGTATAAGTATTGAAATACAGTGTAGAGAATAGTACAGATTTGATATTAGATGTTATATGAGCCGTTCACTGCACAAATTGATTAACTCTACTTTTTGAAAAATCTTAAATTTAAGAGTCAAAGTATAATACTTGGTATAGTCATAACTTTTTATATTTAAGATTTTTCAAAAAGTGGAGTTAATCAATTTGTGCAGTGAACGGCTCATACTACAGTACAAAGTTCGATACAGATTTATGTAGATGTCACAGTAGCAGTATACACGTTGATACAGATCATTTTAAATATTATAGTACAGTAGAGGAAATGGTACGGCTATTACAGAATAATATATTGATTTTTATAAGTTAATGTGGATATGTATTACAGTACAGTTTGAAAACTGGTACACATAGATATAATATATTATGGATATGAGTATAATTTAAAAGTCAATATAAATTTTATACAATAGAATAGTACAGGAAATGATATAGGTATTACAGAATGATATACAGATTTTTATAAATTGATGTAGATAAATTTTATAGTATATTATGGAAATTAGTATAAATATAGTATATTCTGGAAATTAGTATAAAAAAAAAATATAGATTCTACAGAATTAGTATATAGTATATTATGGAAATTAGTATAGCAAAAATAGTATAGGTTCTACAGAATATTATAGTGGTTTTTATAAATAATATAGGGCATTACAGTGCAGTATTGCGATTAGTATAAATTCATTTACAAATAACGTTTATTTGATATATATAAGATTGAAATTAAAATTGAATACATTTGTTAGAAAAGATCAATAAAACAGAATTAGGACAATAAAAAACATGAATATAGGAAATTAGTATAACATCAAAGAATATGGAATAAAACACTGACTGTATCTACTATACCACAAATTTTTTACATCTTTTATTTAATTTAATTTATTCTCAATTACTTAATGTACTTCAATTTATTTAATACGTAATTAAATTAATTTCATTCGGATGCCAAATTCATTCAATTTAATACCTACAACTTTCATGTAACTAGAAAAATAAGCTTCACGTTAAAACAAAAATTCAAGAGTATTATAGAATTGCTATGATTACATTATTGCATACAGGGATATAGTTTTCGAGAATATTATATTATCGAATAAACCGTCGATTATTGATACAAGATCACATTTGTCGTTCATGCAAATCGTCTGTATCTTTTCGCAGTCATGTCACCATACTTATTCATTGCGAATCGTTCATTAACGTTCATTACTCGTGTTTTTGACAAATATAGGTATACCAGCAAAATTACACGTTATGATATTTAATAGAAACTGATTTGTTCTTTCTTTCTTTGATAGTGACATAAATAACTATAACGAATCTTGTAATATTGGCAAATAACATGGTGCTGGCGTAAAATTACTATGATCTGAAATAATTCGCATAATTGTTCCAGCAATTATCCTGCTTACAAGTTTATCATCCACTTCCAAATATAAATGCTATAAAATAAATGTTCATAGTACTTTGACCTTGCTTTAAATGCGATCAGAACCTGCTTCTTTATTATAAACGTATTATAATACATATACATATACATATACAAGGGTACTTGGAAGAATTCATAATGCTATACTGACCTAAAATTGGATGATAATGATACAATACGTGCTTTGATAAAATAAACTTTTATTTATTGCTCTGTTTGCTTGCTGGCACGATGAAAAATAATTTTATACCTTTGTGGAATAAAGAAATATACCGTCTCAAGTATAATTAGGATAATATAACCTGTATTAACAAAATTTTTAAATCTTCTCAGACATATAAATAAAGTAGTTAAATATCGAACTACTGCCATAATTTCTTATAAAAAGATTTACAAAATGTTTCATTTACATACAAGCATATTGTGTACTAGTGGTTATAAAGTGGTTATGTATGGTGTAAGGCACATAAGTTCCGTTTCGAAATATAGAAAATTTTAAGTACATTATAAATTAAAAAAGTAATTGCGTCGAAGCTACAAACTCAATGCAACGATTAAATTTTTATTTATTTTGTCAAAAATAATTTTATTTCGTTATTATATAAACGAATGTAATTCAAAATAAGTGATAAAATAATTTCATCCGGTTTTTTGATTTACAATTAGATCACTTTCATAATTAATGACACGTATTACGTGTATTTATAACACAGCTGTGCAAAAAAATATATGCATAAGTATAAATTTTAATAAATTTTTTCACTTTTCTCACGTTCTACTATACAAGAAAGAAGACCAAAAGCATTATGTTACTTCAATTAAAAACTATTAATTGAACTTTCCATTTAATTAAGTTTTCTCTCATCATGAAAAGGTGATAAACACAAAATCGGAAAATAAACTTTCTTTCTGCATGATATCATGCAGAAGGAAAGCAATAAGTTAATTTTCAATCGAAATTTTAATTAAAAGTTTCAATTCCGAATTTCAATGTGCATAAATACAAAGAAGTAATACATATAATAATAATAAAAATGATTACGTAATTTTTTATTTTGTTTAAAAAATGATTCGTGTTTTTAATATTATATATTCAACTTTTCCAATTTTTCAACAATTTATTTCAATTCGTCATTGAAAGAATATTGATGTTCAAAATTATTCATATGAATATTAATAAAATAGATATGATAAATATTGGATTAATTATGATTATACATGCTACACATAAGAAATGTCAATCGAAAATTTTGAAATATATGTGTAATTTTTTATATAGTCTACTAACGTATACTTACCTCGTTTACTCTATTTCTTGAAGGAGCAATTTTGCGGAAAAGGGGGCTAATTGCACGGTACTTCCTGATTTAGAGAAACTTATCGAAGACTTTTACTGTGAGAAAAAACCAATAGCCTCCATGTGCATTGCGAGTGTGCTTATAGCGAAAGTTTTTAAAGGTGTCAAAATTACACTTGGCAAAGACGGTGAGTTATCAAAGACGTTTATGTTTTCAATTTTTCACCAATTTCTCTCATTTCTTTGTGATCGTATTTCAATGACTAACTAGCTACATATTATTACTCGTCATTGCATCAATTTTAAGTTTACAGCAAATGTACACATACTGTCAGTAATTAAGAAACAAATGAATGATTCGTGAATTTTTGCTTATTTCTAAATATTTTTGAATATTTTTAAATATTTATTTTTAAACATGTATGCAGATTACAATTTTTTAATTTTAAGTCTTAATACAAAAGTAATCGGTTCTTTCATCATCCTATTTTAATTTTAATATACGAAACTCAATAAATGAAAAATATACAAAAATTCGCAAATTATTTTATTTCTTAACCTTTCCAGTAACCTCTCCAATAACCATAAATCTCTACGTCTTCGACTTTATTATATTCCGAATATAAATTTGAAAACTTTGATCATTTTTATTCGAAATTTTAGCTAAGATTGTTACATCAAACTGCACCGAGCTATGCAAAATTATAATTTATTTCGCTGTGTATAATTTTATACTTAGCACCAGCGACAGACTGGCCGCATGCAGAGGCGATCAAAAAGGCCAAAGACATGGGAGCCAAGGTAGAACTGAAGAACGTGAAAGGAGTAACGAAATGTAAGAAGTACAATGTTCTTAGTACACCAGCCTGGATGTACAAAGCTGGATCCTATTCAGATATTCATATTGGCATAGGAAAATTAATCACTGCCTTGAAGAAAAGCATCAATTAATAACTATGTCTAATCCTTTTGATATCATCCTCCTTTTATTTTCCGATGCAGAAGTCTCAAATGAGTGATAAATATCGTGACTATCGTAAAGTTCTATTTCGTATCTCTTTTCCATGTGCAACACTCGCCTGACAGTGTAAATATTTGTCGATTTCTCGAAATATAGTGATTATCAAGTGCATTAATTTCTGAACTAATTATTATCAATTTAATTTAATCATTTGTTATTATCATAATATTCTTATTACTGATAATATAATTTATTTTACTCGGCTATTATTATTACTATTATTATTATTCTATTTAATCAAATTTAATCGTTCTTTATTATATTATTTTCATTATTATCAACGTAATTTATTTTAGTCCTTTCTTATTATTATTTTTCTTACAAATTTAATTCAACCATTCGTTATTATTAATATCAATATTAAATATTACTAATATTATTGTTATTATTTCTAATATAATTTAACCTAGGCTCTACGACATACATTGTAATTCACTCACCTTAGATACTAGGCATCTGCGTATTAATCACAGGAAATGATCGTAGCAGGTTTTCACATGCACGTGAGTTATGAAAAATATATTTTATTTCGACATCTCATCGTGTCCCTTACGACAAAGCAAACGCCACGAGACACATTGGTCCGAGATCGTGGGTCTAATCGCTATGCCTACACTTAAAATAATCAACAACAAGTGTGATAACAATACGGCGAAATCTACAGCGAAGAATTCCCGAGAGGGCTGTCCTCTTCGTGATCCCGTCCAGGTTACGAAGCACAGGGTGAACCTTCGCCGTGATCTTCGTCGGGGATCAGATCAGATCCGAAGCTAGCAGACCGAGAGCTACCGTGACCGACCGAGATCGCACGTTTCCCTCGGTCGAAGTTGAAAACACGCGTGAAAGGGTGCTGTTGAAGAGAAGTCGCTTACGTGTCTAGATCCAAACACAAACTGGATGGTTTCATGAGAAAAATATTAGTTTAATTTATGACAAGGAATGAACAATTCTACGCCAAGCCGATAATTAACAGGTGAACAGTCTTTGTGAATTTAATAGATGCAGCCTGACGGCCTGCACGGTTAACGAAGAAGACAGAAGAAGGAGATACTTATCTATAATCGATCTTACTCGTTTAGAATACTACATAGCTAGACGCGGAAACGTGGTCCACGAGCAAATACATATATAGGTAATATCCATGGAATGACAGGCGCAAGTGTTAGTCCGGTTCCGCTTTAGCTAAAACACTAAAGAAAACGCGAGGGCAGAGCAGTGGAATTTATTTACAAAAGACAGACGCAAATCAACGCCCTGCAAATTTTCACTCCGTGTCCCATGATAACGCGCATAGCGAATTTTCTCTTTTCACGCTCGCTATGATCACGCGTGATCGCGTGCACCAACCGTGGGGCCCATGAACGGAGATTAACGTTAGCGTGTTACGAGTTACTCGCACAGGACCGAGGCTTACTCGAGCGTGACGAAAGTGCACGCGCAAGTGCATTCAATCAATTTAAAATGTGTCCGTGAATTGCCTGTAAACGAGTTTCGCGCGATCCACTGGCAGGCCTGGATGGCCACTAATACTCGCAAAAATTGTGAAACTAATCGATCGACGATTCGAACGATCTTGCATCTTCTCGTATCTTCCATTTCGACGTTTAATCGAGTTGAACAGATGCTACTTCTCAACTATGATCCACAGTAGTGCCTCGAGTGTAGATACACACTCGTGCATGAAAGTATTCGAACCTTAAGTGTGTTGATTTCGAAGAGAGATATGTATGTGTTAAACTGAAATATTTGATATAATGAATTATATAATAAGACAAAGTTGTCAAGAGTATATCAGTAAAATAAGAAAATAATTCGACTACATGTTAGAATTTATGATATATTCATTACAAAGGTCTTCCATTAGTACAAGAATTACCGACCATTAAGAGGTAAGTGAACATAGTAGGTATAGATAATGGTAATTTGAATGGTACGATGAAGATAATTAAATATATTAATTATAATTTTACCTCAATATGAGTCAACGTTAATTTTTCTAAAAACAGGTATATGTTTTTAATAATCGCAAAAAGGAAAATTCTGAGACTAGTCATTTTGATTGGATTGGTAGTGCTAGTATTAATAAATTAAAGTATTGCATAAACAATATTATATAATAGTGTAATGTTAGTTGAAAACAATATTAATTCAGAAATAAGTTTTAATAATTTAAATTCATCTTTTGTTGCTTACGATAACCTTAAGACGATTTTACACAGAACTCACTAGCGCCACCACGACGCGTAACTATAGATGTACTGTAATTGTCATATAAATCGTTGAATTACTTTCTAATTTTACTGATATTATTTTAGGAATTATTTCTTATTGCGTGTAGCATACTATTTAAACGTGTCAGTTTTAACATATGTAGATATTTCAGCTGTTGAATCTACAAATCTAAATGTTTGAATGCTTCCTTATACGAATGTATTTATTTTTCCTCAATGAAGAGTCGTCGCCATCATTTCCTAGAACTGCCTCAATTGAATGTATATATTGGTATGTTCTAATGCCTGACCTATCGCAAAACGCGTCATGGAAACAACGGTCAAATGTATTTCCCTCTTTATCTTGGATCATTGTTCTCAATACTCCTCGCGAAGGAGCAAGCGAACCAAAACAATAACACTGGCAATTCTCGGAATATTTAGTCGTCTAGTAGACGTGACGTGAACTGTGTCTAATGCAGAGGCACTACTGTATACACTAGGCATTGCTTGCAAGGTGACTTGTGAGACGGTATAGAAGAAAAATAGTCTGCTCATGGGACTTAATTTTGTTTGAGGATACCATGGCTTTGACATCTGTCAAATCAAATTATCACGCAAATGATAACTTAAATTTTTATAAATTCAAACTAAAATGGAACAGTTAAATAAAAATTTCGAGTTTAGCTCCATTTGACAAACAGTGACGGTACACATGGATCTTAGAAGAACTAGGAGAAATTGAAGCGAAATGAAAGTGGAATTAAAATTAATAACGTGGAATAGAGAATATTTAATTGGATATCTAACAATTTGCACTTGGAAAACGTTCTAAATGATATAGTATTGGTACTATATATTTTACACTTGGATAATTTTGTCCTATACAATCAGCACTCTTTTGGTGTCCTCCTGGAGGAGACAGTGGACGGTATAGAACTCAAACTTTACACTTGATCATGGTAGATTTAAGGCTGACAAATAACTATCAAAGTATAACAAATCCAACCTGCATATCTTCTCCAGATCATCCTCCAAGCAGTGCATAGTGTCATCGACAGCCTAGATTCTCGAATTTGGGTTAATCATTAAACGAAAACTTGATCCCTAAAACCGTTTTTCTCGTCGAACGATTAATTATTCAATGAAAAATAGAAACAGTCTAATTCCTAGGTATTCACTTGACAGCATTTTGGTACCGACTTGGGAAATTTTCAAGCAATTTTCAAGTAAGCTCCGTGTCCCTAGAGTATCATTAACGGCCCGGTTCGACGGTAACTCGTACTCCAACGCTTACAGCTTTCTCGGAACCCCTGAAACGGTGAATTACGAAGCGAAATGATATGCGAGTAACAGCTCATTTCTCGTAAACAATTTAAATAATTGGGCGAGATGCCTGGCTTCCACGCGATCGGTACAATTGCAACGAAGATTGAAAAGTACGCCAAGGCAGAACGCATTTACGCTGATGCTAATGATCGCGAAGTACGAAGCGGAACGCACTTGTGTAGAAATTAACGTCAATACGGACGTTCATATTAATGAAATCCAGTCTCTGAACGCGTGAAATTTACCATAGAATTCAGACAGGCCGGTAGTTGCTTCTCGGGCGTTCAGAGAAACGAGCGAGGGTCCCTTAGATCATAGTTCCTTTCATTTTCAGCACTCTACTCCACCGATAAGTAGGATGTGACGACACTTTTCAGACTTTGGTTCTGATCTCGTGGCCAGATTTCGCGTTTGGGAGAAAATCCCGAGGTTCGCGTCCGCGCTACCATACAATTCCGGTCCCCGGTGTACGTTCAACTGAGAGCCAGCAAAGGCTCGACTGTCATGCGGGATCTCCTGGCTTTGTCTTCCTCGTTCTGCTTCATCTTCATCAGCTTCCTCTTCCCTTTGCTCTGCTTCTTCCTCGGCTCCTCTGTCGTCATCGCTACCTCGGAGCTCGTTTGTCCCTCCTCCTCTAGCATCCTCAGAGTCTCTATGATGTTTCTGGGCTCCGTGATGCGTCCAGTGGTGCTGCCGTTCTTGTTCGCGTAAACCACAGACAGGTGAGAGAAACTGGACTTAGGTGGAGCCGTGATGTCAGCGAAATCCCGGAAATTCGCGAAGAAATCGCCGCCGCGGACAGGCTGCGGTTTGGGATTCCTGAAGTAATTTGTGCGGCCACGATTATTGCCGTGATAGTAGGGATTGTACAGGCTATCGTCCATGGTGTACTCGTCGGTTTCCTTGTCCTCTGGGTAGTAAGTGCCACCTCGGATCACGCCGAAGTTCCCAGATCCCAGAAGCGGATGATGAACGTCCTTCGCGGTAGCGGCAGCTGTTTGATAGCCACTGCTGCGGTCGCGTTGGAAGTATCCCAGGAATCTGTTGGGTCTGTACCTCTGCTGTTCCATGAAAGGAGCCCTGTGGTTCGCGAACAGCTCGGCGAACGACGGGAAGAAGTTTTGACTATCGGTTTCCAGGCTCTTGTCTTCCGTATCAGGCGCATCCGTTTGATCAGCTTCTTTGGTATTTTCCGCTTCCTGGTCTTTGGACTTGGTCCTCTCAGTGGTACTGTTTGCTACCTCTTCTGTTGTCACCGTTACCCCAGGTGGAGCTTCTTCCGTCACGTTTTTGTAACCTTCGGTTTCCTTCTCGTCACCTTCTTCTATCGTTTCTTCTCTGTCTGGTTGCTCGGTTTCGGTACTCTCTGGTTCCATGAACATGTCCGAGTCGTCACCGTCTTCGTACTCCTCGCCTACTTCAGAAGCGGACGCCATGGAGTCCTGAAACATCGAAAGGAAAATTGCCGATGTTAACTGATTGTGAGAATAAAGATGGCTCGTTGGTGAAAACGTTATATTCGTAGATTTTGCAAACTCCATTCGCTGGAGTATAATTTTCAATCCGTCAACTTTCATTTCTTGAAATATATACCTCTGTCAAATGCGACGGTAAAACGAATATATTTTGATAAAAAAAAAACTTGTTTTCCAACGATGTTCACATGCTGATTGAATTTATGACACGCTTAAGTGAAAGGATAATGCCAATAAAAGCCTTTAAGATTTATTCCTGATTGATCAGGAAGCTGCTTTAAACATTATGAAATTATTAAACACAGTCAAACTACCTCGGTTGCTCGGTGTTAACAAAGGTAGGAGGACTTTGCATAGATTGCCACAAATTTCATTGCATTTCCTTTTAGGAAGCAATTACAAAATTATTAAATTGCCATCAGTCGTGGATACTTTGAAGTTTCGCTGAGAACCCTGCGAACGATGTCTCAATCCTATCACGTAATTCAGTATACAAATTACTTTCGGTATATTTTCTCCTTCAGGAAAGTTCAAAACACCGTTAACCAGCACCAACCACAGCGATCACGCTTTAAATTCAAATCAGAAGCGAGAGCCCGATAAAAACGCGGGGAGTAATTTGCAAACGCATCCATTGACACAGTCCAGCTCTTCGCAATAAAGGATCGAGCTTTAAAATACCACTGTATCGATTAAAACGTGAGAGAAGTTTTGCTACCGGAGAAGTATTGGAAAGTCAGTCGTAAAATTCCGAAATATTGGTTAAAGGCAAATGCAGCCAATTTCCATCGCACTTGGCAGAGTATAGGCAAAGGATCTAGCCGAAGCAAGAGGGTACATTGATAGCGAATGTTTCGTGGACGAACTCTGGGTGCGAGGTATGCAAAGATGACGTGTGCTGAAGTTCCTTTCGCGGGGCTCATTGACCGATCGCATAAAAGGCGAGGGTCTATCTGCTAGGACAACACCACCGTGTCTTCGCCTTGACATTTAAGCCATCTTCGTGCCGACGACCGGCTGCGAAACTAGTCGGTATCGAGCATATGACGTGGATGCCAGCTGCGCCTAGGTCTAAGCCGTTCGATAATACGACTATAGTGCACCGAAGGAGGAACGCGCACGTGCGGACGCCGACAGCGCTGCACGCGTCTAAGTTAATGCGGACGATGGTCGTGGAAGTCAGTTGCGCCACCTTGGTGACACGCCTAAGCATTGTTGCCGATATGCCAGGTCAAACTCTGCGAGTCGGTTTAATTGTATCTGCTCGCTTTGTATTCCTACGAATTTTTCTGTCGCGTTTCTGTGCCTATGCTTTTGAGGCTGGTTAATTGTGAGAGTAAGAAGCCAGACCTACTGGACGATTATCGGCTATTTACATTAAGGAGAGGGAAGGTATGCGTTTGACGATTGTATGGTAATTCGACACGATGTACATGTGTAACGATGTAAGAACGAGTGGCCGCCGGAGGTTGAACCGTGGTAAGTGTAAAGCTGTCTATGCATTTATTAGAGGGATTAAGATTTTACGACTGTCGCTGGATTCGATTGTTCCATATTTGGGAATTTTATTTCTCGCTGGTGATATTGCAGTCGTTTTGTATTTTTTCTGTTTCTTTTTTTCTGTTTTTGTTTAATGCCGGTGTCTGGTTTGAGATAGTTACGAGAAGGTGGTAATTTAGGGATTGTTCAGAGATTTATAGCTTCGTCTGTTAGAGTGGGTATGCGAGGATAGTAAGAACGATTGAACGATTGATAGGAAGTATGAAAGGCTATGCATATGTCAGGAGGCCTGGTGAGATTAAGATTTTATACCTTGCTTCGGCTTTGCTTGTCTCATTCATAAAAACTTTATGTCTGGGTAGCACGTAATACTTAATTCCATTCTTCCACTTAGTTTTCTTTTCTTCTATTTAATGTAGGTAAATCTGAAGATAATAAAATCTAGAGTACTTGTCTCATTCGTCCACTGTTTTTATTATTTTCATTTTATTTAATATAAATAAAATTTCTGTTTTTATTATTTTATATATGCGAATTTTACAACTTGATAATGATAAAATATTAGTTTTGACTCTTTCATTATTCTTTTTCACTTATTTTTCTTATTTAATGCAAATAAAATTCCAATCTTGATTGCTTTAAGTACAGAAATCTTATGTCCTTATGATCATTTTATTTAATGTACATGCACAAAACTTCTTCTGGTTTTGATTTAATATAAATAACATAATTAAATTTAATATAAATAATATAAATAAATTTGATATAAATAATATAAATAAAATTTTAGTTTTGGTTGTTTTATATATGCAAATCTTACAACTTGGTAATGATAAAATATTAGTTTTGACTCTTTCATTATTCTTTTTCTCTTATTTTTCTTATTCAATGCAAATAAAATTCCAATATTGATTGTTTTAAATACAGAAATCTTATGTCTTTATGATCATTTTATTTAATTTACATGTGCAAAACTTCTTCTGATTTCGATTGTTTCGCATGTGAAACTTTTATATCTCGATAATGGTATAATATCCATTTTATTACTTTTTGTATTTAAAGTAGATTTAGACAATTTATAATAAAATAAGTAATTTACAGAATATTCGAAGATTTATAGCTTCGTGCATTAGGGTAGATAGTAAAACGATTATGTATACGTGGAGAAAATAAGAACGACTGAATAATGATAAATGTAAAATGATCTATGCATCTGTTAGAGTCTCGTGGGATTAAAATTTTATGCCTTTCATCGGCTTTGATTGTTTCATACAAGTGAATTTTACCGTTTGATTCAAGTATAGTATTCATTTATTTAATAACATAGATATCGGACTTGAATAATTTATGAAGAAGTAGATAAATTAAGAAGTATTTAGAGATATATAGCTAGTGTATTAGGTAAGAAGTGAAAAGATTGTATGTGAGTAGAGATAATAAGAATGATTGAATGATAGTAACTATAAAATGTGTATGTACTTCATTGTTAAGTGATCCCATGAAATTAAGACTTTACGTCTTCCTTTGATTTTTACGGAATGATACAGTATTCGCTTTATTATTATTTAAATTTAATATAGATATTGGATCTGATTTTTATATGATAAAGTAGATGATTTATGGATTATATATATGTAGGATACCATTTGCAAAAAAATCGCGAATCGACCATTGCCAATAAAAACAAATTATAAACCGATCAATATTTTCTAGAAACAATTGGAAAAGTTATTTTGGGTACCAAAATTAACCCTTTGAACTCGATGATTTTTTAGCTGAAGAAGAGCAGGAGTTCGAAGATTTTCTGCTATAAAGCTGACGATATTCTTCGGAGCAGTAAATAAGAATTCGTATAATAATTAACACATAGAGCTATTTGATTTCGATACCTCGCACACCGTTTCATTATCTTAAATTTGACATAATAATTAGTATCGATCTTTGAAATTTTATCAAATGGTGACTGAAGAGTACCTCTCGAGTGCAAAGGGTTAACACTAGATTTACGGAACCCGTCAATTTTACAGATTTTACGAATTGCTCCAATTATACGATGGTAACAGATTTAGTTAACATATATTAAGACTGTTAATATTGCAAATGTTTTTAAATTAAACTAATCGTTAAAGAAAAGACACGTGGTTTCCTTTACCTCTCAATTTGACATATTTGTCAAATATGTAGAAATAGGGTTACAGATAGCGTCCGTAAACCTAGTGTTAAGTTGCTTGGTCCCTATGGGAAGGTGAAAGCATGGTCCTTGACGACCAAAACAGAGTCCTTAGAAATTAATTGTGAGCAGCACGAGCGTGAGTCGCTTGGTGTTGTAAAGAGAGTTAAATTAGAGTGCGTCTTTGCGTGTTTTCGTTTCGTTATCTTGTTGTTCTTTTCCTAAGTTAAATTAATTTCATGAGCTTTGTGTTTGTGTTATTCTATTCTTGTTGTTCTGTTAGTTTTTGGTGTCTCAAAACCAGTTTTCGCCATCCTACATACATAAAAATTTTGTAACGCATTTTATTAAGATACCTAGCAGGAAGCTTGTGCACTGAGATAATAAGAACGATTAACGTTAATTATCGCATGTTTACGTGTGCCTAGTTAAGAATTTATTCGCGTGTTATTTAATTATTGTTTGTTAAAGGTAATTAAGCTTGCCTGGCACGAATGAAGCGGTTGAAAGTGGTCGAGCAAATGCAAGTTGCGTGCTGATGTGGTTACTGGAGTAGAGTGATTGAAAAGCGTAAACACAATGATTATACAGTACGAAGAGTTGGTACAGCTGTGTAAATCCGTGTTGTAATAGTTTCTGATAATATTTCATTTCCGTTTTAAGGAAACATTCGTCTTTCTCTGTAAATATTTTTACATATTTTCTATCATTTATAAATAAATTCCATTGAGAATGTCGAAGTCGTTTAAATTTAAACAAGTCTAACTTTATTGTAAAATTCTATTTTAAAAATATTATATATATATTATATCATTATTATATAGAATTTAATCTATTCAGTACTAAAACGTCTGTTCTACTTATTATATAGAATATAATAAAAAAATTCTAATCATAAAAATTTTACAATAAATTAAAATACCATAAACTTTTCTAAACTTCTACATGGGATAGTGGAATTATTACTGTGATACCAAAAGTTGATGAATATAGATAATACGATGAACAATCTACACAGTAAGCGAAATAAAACGCAATGAAATTAGATTTCAATCGGATTGTCAGTCAAGCATTTAACTATTTACAGTATACAATCAATATACTTAGCATGCCCGATTATAAATCGACAATGTCCGGCAGTACATTACGGGTAAAGAATGTCGTAGACAATGGGTCGATTTGTCTTCATTTTCGAGGTATGACAAGTGTCTTGATACATATCACAAATAATATGACACATTCAAGCTACTTCACTTTTGCCTAATCATTTATCTGAAATTGTGTGAAATTATGTATG